ATCTCACTTCCAGCAAAAAAGTCAACAATGTATTGGTGAAGTTATGTATGCTAAAACAGTAGTGGAAACCGCGTTACGAAATTTCAAAAATATACATATATATGATCATAAACTACCCTCGCATTATGTAATGACAGTTGAGGATAGGTTATATTTAACATATCATAATAATTTCAAATGGAACCTAAACGTTATATTTTGCATTTTTTTTTCTTAATATACATAATCATCTTTTCACAACAAGAAATTTAAAACATATTTAAAATGGTACATTTTTGCAACGAAATATGGATTTTGCAATTATGGAGCGGAGCGTAATTGCAAAATCGATATTTCCCTATACAAATTTACTATTTTGAAAATGTTTCAAGTTTCTTGTTATGAAAAGATGACTACACATAGTAAGAAAAAAAGGCAACATGTAGTACCGCCCACCCACCCTATCTCAATTGTTATGATTTTTTTTTATTCGCCATGTATGGGTGCCTGCAGTACCAAGAACATTATTTTAAAAATAAATTTCATGGCCTCCTAGAGATTTTCATAAAATATATCTGTTTTAAAAATTCTCAAAAAAGAAGGAATTTCTGACAGTTACGGTCAAATAACTGTCAAATACCTGTAATTCCAACATGATTATTTTAAAAATAAATTTCATGGCATAATAGAGAATTTTTCCCATTATAGTATATTGCGTGGGTGTTTCAAACAGTTTTTTAAAAATTCTGTCAAATGTCAATTATTCACAACGACAGTGTGATTTAATAAAATACATGTGTTGTAAAAATTCTTAAAAAAGGAAACATTTTCAAAACTTCTAAAATTTGGCGAAACTGTGAAACCTATGGTAGAAAGTGTAGTAATTTTAAGTTTGGAAGCTGTTAAAATTTAGATAAAATTTTAAAAAATCTAATGGATAGGTACTAAATATTTTAATAAATCCGTGGATTGCAATCGTGTTTTAAAAGTAAAATTTCAAGTATAATTTAAAAATAACATTTTTCTTGTATTTTAGTACCATATGATGATCGAAAACATCCACTAGTAAGCTATGACATTTATTATTATTATTATTATTAATATTATTATTGGTATCTAAGTTGGTCAACAGGCTTTTGCCCAATTACTGACCAACATAATGCACGTGATCTTAATATAATATATACATATATCAGCGGCTGTCCATCACCACTGTCCCATTTAGGTTATATTTATACATATTAATTAAGATTAAATTCCTGGTGCTGTCAAACTTCGAAGATCTGCTCTTCTTAACGCAAAAATGTCTGCATCTAATTTCTGTGTTAAGTAGGCACTAACTATTTGATGAACTGGTGACATTGCTAACGCATTTGTTCTAGCTGTCTCTAGATGGAATAAGTTATATGACCGATAATTGAAAGATGGAATCCGTAGGGATATCTTAGATAGCAAATATGGACAGTCGACTTCATAATTCAAAATTTGTGACAAAAATTTAATAGAAAAATATTTCCTTCTCTTAGCTAATGATGGCAGTTGTACATATTGCAATAAATTCTCATGTGGAGCGCCTCTAATAGGATATTCACCGGTGCACCTAAAAATAAAGGTTTTACACAAACGACGTTGAACTTTTTCAAGTGACCATGCATGTGTATAATAAATTGGCGACCACACCAAGCATGCATATTCAAGTTTCGATCTTACAAAGCTTTTATACAAAATTAACAGCGCTTGTTGATCTTTAAATGGAGTAGTACTACGAATAATAAATCCTAGACTCTTATAAGCTGATGAAACAATCGCTTCGAGATGGTTACGGAACGTAAGCTTGTTATCGAAAATAATACCCATATCTTTTACAGTTTCAGACCTTTTAACTATGGTTCCACCAATCACGTAATTAAATTGAAGATATTCAGTTTTTCGTGTATAACTGACAATTCTGCATTTGTCAGAATTTAACTGCATATTACAGTCCCGTAAACCCGTTTCAATAATTTGAATATTACGTTGTAGATTGTTGCAATCTTCTAATGTGAGCACATGCCGATATATTTTCAAATCATCAGCATATAACAGATACCGGACATTCAATTTCTTTGTCAAGTCATCTATATATATTGCAAAAAAAAGTGGACCCAACACCGAGCCTTGTGGGACTCCTGATGTCTGTTTAAAGAAGGACGACTTATAACCCCGATATTGCACACACTGATGTCTATCCCACAGGTAGGACTTAACTAAAGTTAGAAGATCTAATGAGAATCCAAAAGACTCCATTTTGTAAATCAAAATCTGATGATCCACTCGATCAAAAGCCTTTGACATGTCCATATAGACAACATCTACCTGAATTTGACGGTCAATATTTTCACATAAAAATTGAGTAACAGAAGCAAGGTTTGTAACAGTCGACCGTTTTTCAGTAAAACCATGCTGATACGGAGAAATCTGGTTCATGACATGTTTATAAGTTCTGTCATACAGGATGAATTCAAACACTTTGCTAAAGTTATTAATGATAGAGATCGGCCGGTAATTTTTGATTTCAGACTGATCGCCATTTTTGAATATGGGACTTATTTTCGTAACTCTCCACTGCATAGGAAAAACACATGTTTTTAGTATAAGATTAAAAATTATTTTAAGCGCAGTTACAAACGAGGCTTTGCAGTCATGAATTAAGAAGGCTGGAATTAAATCAGGACCCGTAGTTTGTTTAGGCTTCAGCTTACTTAAGGCTTTGCAGATTTCAGCATCTGTCACCATATAATTTGCAAAAAGAGTATTGGTATTGATATGTACATTACTTGGAGGTGAAGACGTGGATGACACTGCAAATGAATTACTGAAATACTGAGCAAATGCATTTACTACTTCTTGAGGTTTTGAAATGATGTTTTCATTATAGTTCATGACATTTGGGATGGATGCAGTATTTTTTAAGTTGCGCACATACGACCAAAAACTTTTGGGGTTAGACTTGATGTCGCTGCTGATTTTGATGATATAATTATCATAAGCTACTTTAATTTCATGCTTAACCTGAGTTCTAAGAGCCTTAAGTTGCTCATAATCTTCAACCCTACCGTATTTTTTCAATCTTATCCATATTTTATGCTTGCATTTAATAAGATGTATAATTCGTGATGTATACCAAACAGGATAGTTTCCTTTAGAACGAGATTTCAGTGGAACATGCCTATCAAGAATGCCATAGAGCTTGTTATAAAAAGAGTCAACAGCCCCATTTATATCGGAGTTGGTACTGAGAAACGACCATTCTACAGAATACAGTTCGGTATATAGAGCCATATAATTCGCTTTTTTAAAGTTGTACTCCCGAAGATGGGATACAGAAAAGTTATTATTGTTCGACACCCTATCAAGTACTGTTGATATTTCCAGTGCCGGATGGTGAGTGTCTTCGTGCAATATTACTTCAGATGCTTTTATTACTTGACATTTTACATTGCTGAGCAGTAGGTCAAGAATTCTATCATTCATATTCAATACTGTATTATATTGTGTAAGATTAAAGAAGTTTGATAAAGAAATGTAACTACTATACATTGAAGAATTAACAAACTGATGTAAGTTTTGTTGAGACCAATTCACATATTCTGAAATATTAAAGTCTCCCAGTATCATTATAGATGAGCCATATAGTTCTTGAACAGACATTAAAAAGTCAAAAAACGCATCGTAATCACCGGTATTAGTAGATGGTGGAATATACACTAAACAGATAAGAAAATGCCTATATCGAACAGAAAGTTTTACTAACAGTATATCAATATGTGTAATGTTTTCATCCCTATGGTACATATCACAAATGTTTAACTTAACAGCATCAAAATTTTTTCTAATTGCAAGTAATACCCCTCCGCCTCTCTTAGTTAAACGGGAAGAATGGTTACGGTCGGATCTGAAAACATTATAGCTATCGCCATTAAATATTTCTCCATCCGCTACACTCTCATTTAGCCATGTCTCCGTAAATGCAATGATATCATAACAAAATGTATGAGAGTATAATAAGATATTGCTCAACTTAGTATTAAGGCCTCTCACATTTTGATAATAACAAATTAAATTGAGATCAGAATTATTTTTATAAGATTGACTAATTGATGAGTTTAAGGTCTCACTAGAAGCAGACATTTAAGTTTTAAAATAATTATGTTGGTAACACCAACGAGTTTCTTGTTCAGTCTGATTAAAGATAACGACATGGAAAAAAACAAGTTTAATGGCAAATTATATAGCGTACAGTAATGGAGACGAAAGATCAGAAAACTGGACTACAGACTTTACCACCCGCCCTTTATTTTTTTAGAGGGTATATCATTTGCTAAAATCAGTCTTATCTTAGTAAGTACTAGCCCTGCCCACCCAGACCTCTTAGACCATATCTCATTCGCTAAAATCAGTTTTACTTTACAAGTATTAGCCCCGCCCACTCGCCCTTTATTTTCTTAGAGGGTAGATATATCATTTGCTAAAATCAGTCTTATCTTAGCAAGTACGTTCGTCTTCATAACATTGCTATTATCTTTTGTAAATACATATCAAAAATTATAGGTTATTGACACACATAAAAAAACAAGAAAGTGGATTTCCCTTAACACAATAAATAAGTAGATATGAAAATTTATCGCTCGAGTTCATGGCTAGACAATTAATAAAAAGTTTTTACGATTCTTTAGCGAAATACAATACAAAGTTTGTAAGAGAGAAAATAATATCCCTCTATTATAGGGTTTTTTGCGTTGTATTGCATAGGAAAAAACAAGTGATTATGATCAAAAGTTTATTGATACATCTTCAACCATTTTTTAGTTCTTTTCTGCTTTCAGTTAGGATTGTCATTTCACTAGTCCTTACATATGTCTACATTTATTAGTGTCCTTCAAGTGAGACGCAAATGACAAAATATAACCTATTTTATCAAATGGTAGCTGATAAATTGTGATTAGATCTTTAGATTAACATAAACTCTACGAAATGTAGAAAGATCCATTTATATTTATGAGTAATTGATACGTGTACTGCGCGTGTTCTCAGTTCATTATGTAAGCACAACTTGCTAGTGATTAAACCGACAACATGCTTGACTTAAAGTAAGTTTATTTTAATTCATCCAACTACTTATCAAAATATCAACATATTTTAAGTAAGTGAATGATTTTGAAAGTTTTTCCAAATGCAAAATTCGTGTTACACGTAGGTTAATTGATTAATTCTGGTATCAGTAATGGCAGTGGCTAAATGTTTGCAATTCCTAAATGATTCAATAACTGGGTCAACATTTCCTGTTTTTCGAATTATCGCACTGTTTTATATTTAATATCAATTTAATGAAGAGAATTTGCTGCTCTTGAATTAATTTCTGGATTATATTGTGCCTTTAGTAAACTTATGTTAACATTTGATATGCAAGGTACAAACGTCTACGCACATTAACATTAACAATGTTGCATTTTTAAAATAAAAGAGAGAGTCGGATGATGGATTGATTGCAGTGCTTTCTTAGCTTACACTCAGGAAATAAAACAATAATAAAATAATACAACGTCCATCTACTTGCAAAATCCTCCCCAAAACATTCTATTATCTTGTTGTTGCGTTTTAGTCATACGCGTTATCGCTTCTCCATCGAGTTAATCCTATAGGATCTCAGAATTCATTTTCACTTTTCTTGGTGCCGCAATTTGAAATTTCTCGATGGTCTCCAGGTGTTTTCTCTTTGATATTTTTAACTAAGTCAGGTGATTATTATTATTATTATTATTCGTTCATAATAGTGGTGGTATGTGTTGTGGATTGTCTTGTCGTCATTTGATTGTAAATTTTGTTATGTTTTCCTTATTTAGTATCATTTTCTTAACCAGAAGTTTCTTGTTCTTATCTCTTCAAAATATTGTTGTCAAAATTTTTGCTATTTGTGCTGTTAGTACTTATGTTGTTTATTAATTCTGCGTTGACTTTTCTGTTTGTATTCTTGTTTTTTTTCCCTACCTTCTAACACCATGTGAGTTCATACATTCTGTTCACACTTATATTTAATATTTGTACTTTTTTTGTCGTTTCTTTTCGTTCCATTTCAAGTAATAAGGCTGTACACCAAAGAAGAAGATAATTTAACAGCATATATGGGGGTCCAGGTTTTTTCTCTTCTAAAAAGTCAAGTTGTTATATAAATATTTATTAAAAATGTGTTTTGAGTTACAAAGTGTTTATATAAACGACGTTAAAGAAATTGCTCTAAAGTTATTTATACAAGTACTTAATTTACTTCGTTCCTGAAGCATGCTCAAACCTTAGATGAAGTACGAAATTTGATTTTGCTGTTTTATTTTTTTATGATAACCCGTACAAGTTAGGCTAAAAATAGGGGTACATTTTCGAATTTTACTGTGTTTTTGACTGCATTTACAAAAAATGGATAACCGTTTTTACTACCCGTTTTCCATCCTGGCCTTTTCTGAATACGCTTGTAAAGACAGTCATGTAGAAAGAAAAAGAATGTAGGGCTCAAAAATCCTGTATACTCAACGCTTTAAGTTTTTTTTAAATTTTCTTGTTATCAAATACCTTGAACATCTTTGGGTCAGCGAAATAACAGGTTGTTCAAGAGCACTTACATTTCAGTTCAAGAATGTTAGAAATGTATGCAAAATAGTAAATGCTCTTCTGATAATCTTTCACACAGAATATTAATCACATCGTTCTTTCTGTCATAACATATTTATGCTTTGGAAAATTTTACGGACGCAGTATCTATAAATTCCTTACATTTTTTCGACAGGATTATGAAACGATGGCTTATTTTAAAGCATAATGTCGTTTTATCGTTGTTATTATTATCTAAAGCTTATAAGCTTTATTTACCAAAATATTTTCTTCGTCTATTTCCTCTAGTGTGAAGATTCCCAACAATGTTTGTTTTATACAGAACAATAAATTGAACATACTTTGAACGATTCGTAATTAGGTTTTTACGCTTACTAATTCCTTAGAGAAAGCGGGATTTTATTATAACTTTTTTGCCAATGACAAAAAATAGATCTCTGAAGCCAGTAGGTAATGTATGACTGTGCCTTTTATTTTTTTCAAAAAACAGAAGTGTAACAAAAACATTTCTGTCATTCAACCATTTTCTACATGTTTGTGTCAAATATTTACACATCTTAAAGCTTCAAATTTTTGCTGCTATTCAAGCGTACCGCAAGGCTCCAGTCTGGGTCTGCTACCTTTCCTTCTGTTGATTAATGACTTGGCAGATCCAATCTTCTCCGAAAAATTATTATTAGCAGATGATTCAAAATATTTTACAGAATTGACAGTTAAAATGATTGTTTACTATTAAAAAGCAATATACAACTCTACTTTTAAACTTGGGTAAGTGCAAAGTTATGTCTTTTTCGAATGGGTAAAATTTCTACAATATTCATAAAGTATAAATGGCACTAACTTGACCACTGACGGAGTAATTAAGTATTAATGTGTAGGGAAATAAACTATATTATTACTATTATTGTTGTCAGTAATACATACATAAATATGTTAAAGTATCAAGTTTCTGTATTCATTGTAGGGATCCGGTGTTCATTGGGTTGGTAGCTTATTCATCCGTGATAACACTAGTGTGCACTGTACTGTTGGTACTTTGGTTACGAAGTCGAAAATGTACGTTTGCAAGAAGACGCTCTACAAACACTACAAATAGAGTTGAAAGTTTACACCAGTTGAATAGAAGAAGCATGGATAATCCATACAGAATAAACACAACGTCATGTCACGTTCGATCACTACCGTCGGTCCCAAATAAACGTGCAACTATTGATGAATATGATCCAATTGCGTGCAGCTCAAAAATTGATCATAACACTGTAAATCCCCCACATGAATATCAAAAAATGGAAACAAACAAAAAAGAAGACCACCAATATGAAACAATTGTCCAACATGTGGTCACGACGTTATCGGCAGTTTATGAGAGTGGTACGAAGGGTGGCGACGTTTACGAAAAATTTATGGAACAATTGTTGAAAAATCTTAAAGCAGCGCATCCCAGCTTGTATAATTCTATACAAAGCTCTCAAGGTGCAATTTATGCGGAACTTGAAGGACAAGTGAAAAAACAGCCTGTCGTAAATACAACAGGTGGCGAACGTCCAAGTAATTCTGGAGCTGGAAGTGAACAATTTTACGCTACATATATTCCTAGTGAAAGTACTAGTTGTGAGAATGTGGCGAATAATTTTAATGACGTTAGGAGTGATATCGTTTTTGGTTCAACTGATCATTTAAAATTTTTTGTGGAAAATGAATGTGATGAAAGTGTTTATGACACTAATTCATATTTACCAGCTAGACGCTTTAATCCAAAAGATGGTTGTCCAGAAGAATTACGAAGACTATGTCCTGATGAGGTAGGTATGTTAAGTGTGTTGCACTAATTATTCACTGATTTAGGTTTTAGAAGCGTTACGGTGATAATAAAATAAATAAAATTTGTAGTAATACATAATTGTTTATATTGTTATTCGAGAGAGTGACATTTAAAGACCAGAATTATACGCACGCAAATTTATTAAAGTATGCGTACATGAAAGCAATTATTTTGAAATTTTGCACGCATATTCTATGTTAGAATGAAAATGGAGGTCATCAGTATATTCTTGCATTGTAACCACAAATAAGAGCAATATTTCAAAAATAATCTTTTCAAACAGTAGGTAAATATAACTAACTGTTCCGGGAATTTTTGGCTATCTTTACTACATAGTCATTAATGTTGACAATATTCAAGTTGCAGGTATTACCTTTAACGTCACTTAAATCAAATATATGTATTTCTTATGAGATCACTGCAATTTGTTTCAACGTGTATCTGTTGTTAGTGTTTGTCAGCTACTAGGTATCGGGTGATCAATAATGACTATAATCGGCTCAGGCTTGATTTCTAATCTCCATGTCTTTGATAGACTAAAACACCGACCTGTCAAATCAAATGACAAATCTAAAACTAAATATGGCAAATATGAAGGTAGAGTTTTCAAGATACTCCCTTTTACAATTTCATTATTTAAAATTATATTCACTAAAAGTGCCGTTGTTTTAGACATCACAATAATTATCCATAGTTTTTAAAGTAAGAACATACATTTACACGCTGTCATGGATGACTCGATTACAATCAATATTGATCATCTGTTAGATTAAAGCATTAAAAAACTGTATGGATAACATCCTTAGTTATTTTGCGAACATACTAGTTGGCTCCGGCGGCTACTTTTGAATCTTAAGCAACAGGTAAATTGGCTCCGGACTAATAGGTAAATTGGCTCCCGCCAGATGCATGTACTAGTTGGCTCCCATCTCCTGCTGCCTGCATGACGGGTAACGCAGAACTGTGGTTGTTTTCACAAAACCTAATATCTAATGCCAACTGAAAAATTAAATTTCATTTAAAGTTGTTATTTATAATTTTATTCGTTCATCATTGCAACGATAAGTATTTAAGAAAAACAACACATATATGTTCGAACTATTACCCCTAATAATTTTAACAATTTATTTACTATTGCTTGGTAAATATATATTTTTTTATTTTTGTTAGTATTGTATTTTGCTGCAAAAGATAAGGTAAATATAAACCAAAACAAAATTGCTGAGCTTCTGTCTGTTTAATTTTGAAGTTTCAGTCGCTTCGTGAGTATGTTCACCACTTTGTTCTATTATTCGAAGCATTCGTCTTGATGTACATACGATTTACAGCCACGTTTTACACACTGCCAACGTATAACACTTTGAGCTAACACTTTATGAAAATTATATTTATAATTATTACCCAATTAACAGAACTGTTTTCCCTTTTCCACTAATCATTTCGTCCAAACAGTCCATTTTGTAACAATTATCTTAAGCGCTTGGGCACAAGAAAGTTTAAGAAAAAACTGATATTTTTCGACCGGAAATTTTGTATTTGTGTTGAATGGGCATTTTCGACCAGTGCAGATGGTAATAAAAGTATAGAAATATTTACTCTCACCGTAACGATTGTTATCCTCTTACTTCAAAGACCCCGCAAATCTGGGAAATACCAGAAAACCCCTTTGTAACTACCTTACCGCCACCACTTTCTAGACATAGAAATTTGATGACTATGGAATTATATGTTCCTGTAATTCAAACAACACATCTCTTCCGACAGCAGGAAATAACGTATCTGCAGATGATCCCCTCACCGTAGGAGGTACCATAAAATCTACCTTCCTTGCACCATCGGAGCCAATTTACCTATACCCATTTTTCGGCAGAGGGTCAAATACCGTCCGCCGGAGCCAACTAGCATGTACCCGTTATTTTATTTACCACTAATTTTTTACAGAAAAAATGTGCAAATGGTAATAAAGTACTAAATAGAACCCCTTCTAAAGAAACACAGGAAGTTCACACAGACAACATTCCATCTCCTCATGTTCTTTCAAAACCAAGTTCTGGACGTAAAGATGAATATGAATCCATAGCAGACAAGGTAGAATAACGTTATTCTTTTTTTGCATTTTTTATCATATTTTTGCTGTATCCTACTTGAATTTTTCTTTCATTTTTCGAAATCAACTCTCTACGCTTAAGGTATTTGTACCTAAACTATTTTATGCTTAGTTTTCTCAATGACTTTACAAGTCTGGGTTACAAAATTTTTGCATGCTATTTTTCCATGCTTTTTTCTAAAGTCTCTGTGTTCCTGAGTGATACTGCACCCCAATAACATTTGAGAAGAACCTATATGTAAATCAACTGAATTTTTATCAATTTATAATCTTTCTATTTCTAAATTTTGACTGTCGTTTTTGCCTTGGAACTTCATATACCACAGGACTGAGAAAAGTCCTCTATTTTTAAAATATTGATGTTGGTAAGTGTTGCTTGTTTAATTTAACATTTATGTCAAATAAAATCTCAAATACCTGCAATGCGATTATTATTTTAAAAATTAATTTCATAATCCAGTAGAGGACTTTTTTTCGATCATATAGCATGTGATATATTGACCATTATTAAACGCAGACTTTGATTCTTCTATCTTGAACGTATACCATATGCTTTAGAAACTGCTTTCTACACTTCTTCAATCACTATTTTTTATTGTTTATTTAATTTCTCATTCTTCATCACTTTTTTATATCCATTAACTTGTTCCAATTAGAGATGTTAGTGAATAAAAAATGGTTTATTTTAATTGTTTTAAAACAGGTTTTTTTATTTTAAAATATTAGACTTGTTTTTAGTACATTTTAACTGCTTACTTAATTAAAACTGTTAAATATTTATACCAACGAAAAAAGCCAAAAATAACAAAACTATTTTAAAACAAAAAAAAAACGAAGCCATTAAGAGTATACTCTCGTTTCGTTTAAGATATAACTAATAAAATTATAAAGACCCCGTGTTACAAGAGGCTGATCCTGGATTAACACCCAGATTTACAGCATCACGGCCCCAGCACCTCAATATTATCATAAAATTTTATAAGGTACATCCTAAACGAAACAAGTATAAGCTTATTGTCTCTTACATCAATTAGGGTAATTCGAGGGGATATGGCCATAGAGTAAAGATGGCCAACGCCTACATACAAGCAACCCACTACTAGATATCGGTACTACTGGAGTAAACAGAGTTATTTGTGTTGGTTATGCTTCTGTTCGTGCATAGTTTCTGGCGCCAAAACTTCTGAAGGTAAGTGTTACAGGTGTTACATGACAACCAAAAGTTTTTAAGCATCCACTTTCTGGTACAATAATATCGTATATAACATTCTTGATTGCTCTATTTTGTTCCCTTAGTTTTCAAATAATGTCTCACGATTAATATAACCTCAAACCGACATGAAATGTGGATGGGTCGCCTCTACAAAAAGGAGAGTTGGCCAACATTTTTTGAGGATAGTTCGCCATGGCTATCTATCCTATAGTTATGATTGATTTTTCAGATGCCGAACATATATAAACGAAAGGCATTCCATAAACGTGGATTATGGTAGCAAGAAGGTCAAATACAAGCAATGGAGGCCGTAAATGAAGATCGAATGTCTGTACGACGTGCCTCTATTGAATATGACATTCCGCGAAAAACATTAGAACGACGTTTAAAAACAAATAATACAAGTGAAGATAGATTGGGACCTAGTGGTCTTTTTGGGGATGCAAATGAAAAAAAAATGTAAAACATTAAAAAAATGCAGAAAATGGGGTTTCCGCTAACAAGAGACGACATTCGCCACATTTCTTTTAGATTTGCTGAGCAATGCATAATCCCAAATCGATTTAACAAAGTTACTGAAAAAGCTTGGTATCCTTGTCTTGAACTATTTCTGCGTCGGTATCCTGAGATTCGAATTCTTAAATCACACGAGAGTAATATTCAGAAAAAACACGAAGTTATAGCAAACTCTCAAAAACAACTCTAATCAGCAAACCAGTGATGAACCGCAAGCTGGTTCCTCGCACTCTCTGGAAGAAGAACAAGACAATTGCACCTGCCATGAAGCAGTGAAAAGCTTCTCAAATATCGATATGCTGGCTGTGGAATTAAACCAGACAAAAGGTGAGAGACAACCCAGTACATCACATGCAGAAAAACAAGAAGAAAAAGAAACTCCTGGTAAAATATTAGAAAACATCTCGGAAGTACCGAAGCTGACTGTGGAACGAGCTAAAGAGCGAGCAAAAAGTATTGCTTGCTTGCTAACTTCACCAGAGCATATACAAAAATGTAGAATTAATCAGGTAAAGAAGCAAAATACGAGTCAAAAAACCAGTGGTAAGATGAAATCACAGCGTCCACTTGGTGGCAAGAAATCTTACAAAACAACACCATCTTCCTCGCTCCGAAAGAAGATATGCGATTTTTGTTAAACGTATAATCTGAACGTTCTTTTTAACATTTTTAGTAGTTGCTTGGATTTGTACCCACCTTTTTTTTAAGTTTGTTTATTTTATTTGAAGTTTTTATGACGAATGTTCTTTGTTTTTGTGTTTTTTAATAAATGTTTTATAAAAATTATTTTTTTATACGTAATATCTTTAAAAAATGCTATCGCCATCACTCCCCAACGGTATGGCCTTCTCACCTCACCCCTCAAGGAGAGATGGCCATCCGTCTATAAAACAACGAAAATTCTTAAAAATTCACTGTGAAGGTCCTTAGCATTTATTGACTGATATATGAAATCTATGGTGCAGCAAAACATTCTCCTTCAAATTTGAAGTCATTTGCTTTCATACTAACATAGAAATCGTCAAAAAAGTAAACCATGGCCGCGTCCCCTCGAATTACCCTAAACATTAGTATTTTTATGAACTATTAGATACAAATTTCGCAAATTTCAAGTGCCAATGATGTTTTTTTTTAGGAAGAACTTGCCAATGATAATAAACGACTACCCAGACCTCCTCCCACTGAACGAAAAGAGCAAACTGACTCAGATAAAGTTCCATCAACCCACAGTTTTTCAAGATCCGTTTCCAATGAGGAATTTAGATCGAACGCTACGAAGGTAGGAAGTCTTTCTTTAATTTTAAGTTGTTAAGTTTTACTCTATTTGTTACTGCAATCTATAATGAACATTATTTAGTATTTTTTTAATTGTCGAATTTTGTTTCTCTTATTTTCTATAGAATTAAGGCTAGATCTCCATTTAATTTTATATTTTTTCCAATTTCTACTAATAAAAAGCTCATTTTGTATGTTAAATCTCGCTATTAAAACAATAGTTTAATCGAAAGGATGAATAAAATGTTTATAGCAACACTTTATTCACACTGTCATTGACAACACGAATAAAGTAAAAAAACTAAAAATTCGCACTGCCACTGAAATTTTCGTTGCTATGGATGTGTGGATATTCAACTAAAATTTGCAACGTTTGATAGTCCACCTCCTGTAAAACAATCCTAATGAAAGTCCAGGAGGATCGTTTGAATTTGACTGTGACGAAAGTACAGGCAGCTTAGGCAATTTACCTTCATCAAATGTTCATCATATTAGTAATAGTACAATTAATATTTATGTATATGGATTACCTAAACAATACATTTTTTGAAAAATTTTGCGAAATTGGAAAAATCTTGTATGATACACGTGAATAAACGGATTTTATCCACTTAAAAACATTATCACACTCAGCTTCGCTTCGTGTGCTAAACTGTTTTTTCGTTGGATAAAATTCACTTTTATTCACTTATACCATAAATAGCTATTTTCACAATTTTGCATGGTATACTTGTCATCTTTGACTACTTTATGTAGCCACTAATTTTTGCAGTAAACCGTGCTTCAAATGGTTTTAATTCATTTTTTATATTTTGTATTTGTGTCCTCAGCTTTTTATAATTACGATTATTTTGAAGCCATTTGTCTTAATTTTTTCTTTTATATCTTAACCTTACTTTTTATAAAGATTTTCTATCTGTTATCTTGAAACTGCTCCTTGCTAACTCTTTCAAATTTATTAAGATGTTTTTAACATAATAGTTTATCATACTAAAATATCAATATCATATCAGTTTTTCTCCTTATATTTGTTTCTTAATATTTGGAGTGTGTTCATCCTTTTTATTATATCAATGTCGTACGATTCATACCAATATAATAATCTTGATAATATTACAGTGATTGTTGCCATTGTTGTTTTTTTCTTTTATCATTTACTTGTTACGAACCCTAAAATGTTTACTATAAATGTTTAAGTTATGTCTTATATCATTAATAAATATAAAATTATAATTGTAAAGTCATATTTTGTTCCGCTCACAATTATTTTTCTGTTGTAGATCAAAAGTCAACTAAGCTTCAAAATTCCACCAGCAGTTCCCCAAAAACCACCAAAAAGAAAATTAGTCAAGAGTGACAGTTTACAATGACCCATACGATTATTAATTTATATTATATTCAAATTAGATTTTTATCAGTATTGTTTAAGCAGTAAAAGACAAGCATGAGTTTTATATGACGATTTGAAAATTGTGATTAATGAAATACCACCAAAGTTTCTTTCTTAATAAGTAATCGTTGTAGAAATTGAAATAACGGATGGTTTTTGATTCAGTGATATCTGATTGTTGGAACGTTAAGGTAAGATGCTGTTCAGTGTAGGAAGATTATTTACCCGAATTAAGTCCAATTTTGCGTAGCAAAATGTTTCTGGATTTCTAGATTTAGTGTGGTAGGAGACATATTAAATACAAGAAAAATAATATAGGATTTGCTTACTCGTTTTATAAAATATATTTATAATATAATAACTAAAATAAATCTTAGTGTACACAAAATAAAAGAGAAACTGAGTTTGAAAACCCACGACTTTTACTTTCAGAACTACATATTACTCCCTACAAAATATCGCAAAGCTCTGGACACGCACTATCAAACTGGACGACTTAATAAACACAAAACCTAGAGAAGAACTAGTTCTTGGGGAACAACAGGGACACTCACTTTTGCCCAGGTACTGACAAAGCACTGTTAACCGCAGAAGGGATGACGAAGAAAGTATAGATGGAATACAAATGATAGTAAATGTAGGTATACTGAAATTACATTCTGAACCACAACCTAATACTTTTGTAAATGGTAAGTTTACGTTGCTAAAAGGGACATTTTAAATGCAAAATCTTTGTATATAAGGAAATGAATTTGGCTTTGTTACAATACATAAACATCCGGAAACAGTTTGTTTCATATCGATATGCTATTTCAACATAATAAACAGGTTAAAAAAAAGAAAATAGTGAATATAAGTAACACTATGTTAAATATAGATAAGTATAATACTATATTGGTGTTCCTTTTAACCTCATGGATGATTTATTGTTTATTAATATATGCTAAGTTTTGCATGAAAAACTTTGTTCGAAGATTAATTTCAAGAGGAGGTATATCAAACACTGTTAAAGCTAAAAAATAAAATGACATCTGGGCCAGATTGTATTCCAGCTTTTATTCTGAGAAACTGCGCTAATATTTTCAAATTTCCACTTATTTTCAACATGTGTCTCAACTCTGGTGTGTACCCCTCACTACGGAAACAGTCCTCTATTTGTCCAATATATAAAAAAGGGGATAAAAAACAAACTGAAAATTATCGTCCTATCGCTCTTTTGTGCAATTTCTTCAAGGTGTTCGAGATTTTGCTACACAAGAGTACTATGCGTCATGTTCAGTCCTATATCTCACCACTGCAACATGGTTTTGTTAAGGGATATTGCACTGAGACCAACTTATATGCGTTTAGGTACACAATTTTTATCAGACACAATCGACACCGGTCACCAGGTGGATACGGTGTACACCGATTTTTCAAGAGCATTCGATAGAATTGATCATTTCCAGTTAATTAACAAATTAAATTCTTTTGGTTTATGGTGTATTCTTGATGAAGTCGTATCTTTTTGGTAGAACGCAGTTTGTGTTCTGTAAAGGATTTAAATCAGTAGAAATAAATACAACATCAAGCGCTCCTCAAGGTTCGGTTCTTGGACCTCTCCTGTTTATCCTTTTTAATAATGATATAACATCTTCATTAGAAAGTCGTTGTCTACTATATGCGGACGACTTAAAAATATTCAGAGTAATAAGATCCGTGGACGACAGGTTATTAGTTTCGTCATTTATTTTTTAATTCCAAGGGTAACTGTGCGTAGATATGACACATTGTACATTTTTACAGCTCGCACTAATGTGCGTAAATTTTCTCCAATTTATACCATTTGGGGAAATTAGAACTGAAACCAGGATATGTTCGACATCTTTAATACCACTTCAAAAAAAATTAAAAATATATGCTTGTTACAGGTTGCAGGATGGTGTTAAATTATTTAAGTTAGTTTTAATGTTAAATACATTCATCTTACCCCAATAAATGGTTGTACTGTGGAGTGAATAATAATAATATTAATAATAATAATAATAATAAATAACCAACGGAAAATAGTGTATTATTATCAGTCAACATGCTTAACTTCGATTGTTTATAATTATACAGCGAAAGAATGTCACGTAGAAATTTGTTTAATTTGAATTTGTTGTCTTCTTAAAGCAGAGGACTAAAATTATTAATTAAGCAGCGATGGAACAAAATGTTTTGAATATCATTATTATTGTTCTTATATGATCATAGTTAAATAAAGACGTGATTATTTTCACATTTTCTGGAAAATGAGGTTCTTAATTTGATCAATAAAAAATTGGTCGAAGGCTATACAATCTAAAATAAAAACCAGCGGCATAAATAACACACCCTGGCCTTTAGGACTAGGTAATAACAATCTGAAGCTTAAGTGTTTATTTATGTTTATACATCGAAAGAATGTCACGTAGAAATTAGTGTGATTTGGATGAGTTTGTCTTTTCAAAACAGAGGACTAAAATTATTAATTAAACCACAATCGAACAATATTCTATGTTCTGAATATTATAATTCTTATTTTATCATTATGATATAAAGACGTGCGTATTCTCACGTTTTCGAGAAAATGGGGTGATTCGTTCTTAATTTGACCAACAAAAAATTTGTTATGACGTATAAACATAGATAAAACACAATGAGAAAAAGAGAAAAGAAAAGGAAAATTCCTCAGCCTTAACCACTAGACCACGACCGGGATGCCTGACGCTAATGGTAAATTACTATGTCCGTGCTTTATATTTTTGCAAAAATTTGGACTGTTAGGAAAAAACTCAAAGCGGATTCGTTCACTACATTTATAGGGGTATATTGTTGTATAACAGTTAAATCAAATAAACATAGAATTCTTTGAAATGACGTCATCAAATTGTTGGTGGGGATGATTAGCAAAATTTTGGTTAGCCATCTACATGATATTTCTAAAAAACAAAATTTGACAACAATCGGTCCAGCAATTTCGGAGATTACGTGTCCAATAAAAATAGATAATGACACCAGAGAGAGAGAGAGAGAGAGAGAGACAGATCGACGCATACGGCAGACTACTTTTTCGTGGTGTAGGGGTCATAAAACTTTGAGAAAATATAAAAGTGGCCGTTCGTCCGATGGACTCGCTTACGCTCGGGAAGTAAAAAGATTCTGTATTCGTAATTCTACATATGTAATAAAAAAAAACTGAAAACTTAGGCTTTTTATTTTGCCTGGTATATCTACATAATCAAGATTCTGTTTCTTGCTCTAAAATTGAATAATATACAGATGAGAAGGACATATATATTTTTCGGATAAATTACGTCGCAAATTGTAGTAGGCTTATTAACAAATTTGTTGAAATTTTGGATTCGTTGTCCGTATGCTAAAAAAGATCTCTTCAAAGTAAGTGAGTAGGAACTAACGCTGGACTACGCTGAAGGGATAACCGTAAAACATATTTACTTTGTCAAATTAAGATTATAAAAGACGACATCATCAACTTTATGGAAGGGGTCAAAAGATCACTTCTAACTAGACATTTGCCATTTTTACGACAAATTTAAAGCGTCTGCAAAATTTTAAAGCAATCTGTTTTGTTGTTTCTAAGTTCTGAATTATGTTCATAAACATTACACACTTGATGTTTGAAAGTTTTATGAAGAACTACATAACATATAATATGATATATCTAATAACATAATGTATCTTATTACATAACGTAAACAGTATTACTCATTTTAAACATGTCATAATTCTGGTAGGTAACTGATAAATTTCGATTAGATCTTTGAGTTAATATATAAAAAAATAAATGTAGATAAAATTATTTATTTTTGTCAGTAACTGATAAATGTATTGTATGTGTTTTCCTTAACATTAACCTAGTTGGGTTCAAACGTTTACTGTAGTTATTGAAACCTAATACCTACTTTAAAAAATATGTAATCCAAAAACGTCAATATACTGGAATTTGTAAGTATATATGTAAGGTTGTTTAATGAAGAAAATGATGTATGTATTTATTATCTAAGATTAAATTAAAGAATTAAATAGAACATCTAAATAAGCAACTGCAAATTCTTACTTCGACGTGTAAACAAGTATTTCAACTAATTTATCACTTCACATTTAATTAGAACAAGTTTTGTTAAAGAACGATCTACTTTGTTTCCGACTGAGGAATTTGGTTAAGTATAACAAATGTTCTCAAATTGGCTTTGTATAGGCAGGCTTTATCAGTTTTATCATCCACAATAGCACATGAGAAAGACAGTCAAAAATTATAATCAAACTGGATATACCTACTTACAATATAATAAAAGTTTTGTAATAAAATAATACATAAATAGTACATACAGAGAAATGTAGCTGTAAAAATATACTGACTCGTGCACAAACAGAAATTTTGAAATTGAAAATTTGTGGTACCGTTAATTGATGAATCGTTTAAAATATGTTTTAATATAAACATACTTCTAGATACTTTCCTACATGTGTTCTTTTGTTGTCACTTGTAAAAACAGCATTTTTATTTCTATTGTAGGAAAAATGGTCTGCGAAGACTGGGTAAATGACGGCAGATCCATCGGTTTGCTGGCTTACTCAACTTTAATAACATTAACGTGTGCGACATCTTTAATTTTCTTGGTATTACTCCTCAAGAAACGCAAACGAACGCGGTACGCAAGAATTAAAACTGAATCTGAGGATTTACAACAATTACATAGACGAAGCGTAGACAACCAGAATGAAACTGATCCATTTTCAACGGAACCTTCATCACCTCCACTAACTCCAAATAACCCTAGAGTGGTGAGTGAATACGACGCAACTTTAACACGTATTCCTGAAATTGAAGATCAGGCGATATTTCACGAATACGAAAAGATGAAACCATCTAAAAGTGAAAACAGTCAATATCATCATATTATACAACATGTGGTCACTACTTTGTCTGTGGTCTACAGCAGTACTATGGATGAAGGAGACGTATACGAAAATTTTATGAAAGAATTGCTAAAAAAACTGAAAGTTCAGAATCCGCATTTGTATAAATCCGTACATGGCGCGACTCATATGTATGAAGAAATAAAGGAGGAAAAGCAACCGACCGCTAGAAGCTCACAAGTTTCTGCAGATGACAATGATTATGCTGAGTATCGTCCTTCTAAAAATAGAGCGAAACACGTGGCTAGAAAGAAGACTAAAATTGTTTTCAAAAATACGAATGTTCTTGGATCAACTGACCATTTAAAATACCTCAAAGAAAGCGAATGTGTCGAAAATGCTGAAGACGATACATACTTGGAAGCTAAACGTTTCAGCCCGAAAATAGATTGCCCAGAGCCTATACGAAAATTATGTAATGGACAGGTACAGTATGTTTTTTGTGTAAGCTGAAGTTTTAATAATTTAAAGAACAATAATAATCAACTAGACGAATTGAAAGATTCAGTTTTTATGGACAATGAATCACATTTATTTAACAAAAATTATGTCATTTATGATAAGGTCTTACAACTTTTGCAAATTCAAAAATATTTACACACTTTTTAGATGACGTCAACTTTTTATATAAATAGATAAATATAAAATCATCACTCAAAATCTGTATTCATCAACTCAGACGGTACTTTTTTCTAAATATTTATCTAGTAACTTTTGAGATGGGCCTGTTATTAATTTTCTAGAAGCCACAAATTCATGAATTTTAGTTAGTATTTTATAATCCCTGCGTTTGCATTAGTACTCAAATGCATTTCATCAAAATCACTCTCCTTATCTCAAGAAATAAATTGTTTGAAATAAGCCACTCTTTGTTTCCATTAATTAAGATTCTTGTCGTGGAATGCGGTCTGCACATTTCGCATACTGAATTAATAAAGCACAAACTTCTCATATTTTTTTGTTGATGAAATGTGTGATCGATTGATTAATTTATCGGTACACACCTACTGACAGGGATTTAACGATATTTAAACAGTTATTTTAAATACGTCAAATATTGGAATTTCTTATCTACCGGCAGCTGTCTGGGAGTTTGACGTTTACATAATTTTATGATGTAGTTATTTGCAAAATTAATTCTTACATGGTACTTCAGTTAGGAAACATCATAAATTACTGATAACCTTTCCATTTTGGCCCTGAGTCAGCACTAATTTCACAATATGTAAATACACAGTGCTTTACACGTTTGGTAGTGGTTTAATTAACGTTTAGTTAACAGGGCCGACAATATTAACATTTTAGTAAATTTTAAAATCGTTGCGAGGAAAAAGCGTCTCGGTGATGTAAATTTTAAAATCGTTGCGTAGAAAAGCGTCTCGGTGATGTTATTAATCTCTAGCGTTGCGAGGAAAAAGCGTCTCGACGATATAATCAATCTGTAGCGTTGGGAGGGCATGCCTTGATCAATTAATCAATCTGTAGCGTTGTGAGGGCATGCCTTGATAAATTAATCAATCTCTAGCGTTGTGAGGGCATGCATTGATAAATTAATCATGATAACGATGATAATAACGATGATAACCGCCTAAGGGAAGAAAACATTTTAAACCCCTCCCGCCAGTTCGCAGTATAATGAACTTGTTTAACTGCCGTAAATGAACTATTAGCAATCTTGTGTGAAGAATTTAGAAGTGTTATAATGTAACACTTACGTATATGCATCTAAAGACCTATTCGTAATTAAACATAAGGTGTTTTTCCTGACTAAGTGAATTTCATGAAATCTGTTAGCAAGTGGTTTATTTAAATAATCCTGATTGTTAAACTGTGTTTGCACTAGCTGACTATTAAGAAAAACTAACTTGATTGGTGAATGAAACAACTTTACAGCACGTGTTTCGTGTTGACCGGAAGTCAGTATTTTTTTCGATTAAAGGCCGCAAGAATTAACCGCGCGGGTTGGGGACAACTGTGTCATTATGAAAGTTACGATTGATTGTCGTTAAACAAAGGCTTCCTCCCATTTTATTAACTATCAAACCAACTAATTTAAACCTAGCGCTTACCACGTGGTTACACTCATAGAAGCACATTCAGAATCATCCTACGCCATGCAGCTTCTCTACCAACCAACCAACCCTGTAACTAAAAACTCCCTAGCGATACCAAGCCGCCACCTAACTCAGTCATCATGCAAAGCTACCCCTAAGCGCTACGTGCATATTTGGTTGCCTATGTTTAACGATTTCCTTTTCGTGATTGAATTTTTTTCTTTGAAATTCAAATTATTCAGCGCGAAAACTTTGATTTAAATTCGGTCACCACACCATGGATCAGTTTATAAACAAAATATTTTTTATTATAATTGCTTATTATTATAAAAGCGTAACAGCCATCGACCGTTATACCCCTTAACGGCTGGCGGCCGTTATGGATGACTTTTCATTTGAGGCTATGAGCGACAAAACGGACCAACCCACAAACATTGTATTTTGGGTTGCTTATGTAGTATAAACCGCAATTTTTTCATTTATTTTATGATAAAATGGACTAAGCCATCTTCTTCCTCTAACCAGTAGGTGGCCGCACAAATAGTGTTTTGCCATTTTAAGATTTTGTGACCAGCACGGAAGCAAAACGGACCAGTTTAGGCTAGTCCGTTAAAGAATTTCAGATATACTTTTGTGATTAGGTTTAAATTTCTAGTTCGTGGGAGTGTTGATGACGTTTTAAAATACAATTAAACATTGACGAGTGCCAATTTTTTTTCTACTAAAGCTCTTGAAAATAACATTACAAACAGAAAAATTGCAGAAACAAAAATCAAAGTGTTGTGGTTAAACATCCAGTGGTTACGATTTCAAAAGCAATTTCCTTATAATATTCAGTTCAAATATTCAATCAGAATGACGTACCATTCGAAATTGTTGATACTGGTAAAAGAAAAGCAACAATAGGAAAATCAGAACTGCAATTGCTTTACCCAAATGGAAACCTAATCAACGATCTAAAAAAAAAGATCTCTTGCTAATAAAATTCATTCCTCCTGTTTTCCACGACTTCTATGAAAACCTTCGATCTTCAATCGATCTTAGGGCGGGTGGGTGGGGCTTATTCTTTGTTTTTTTTTTATATATAGAGTTTTCTTTCAACAACAGGATAGTTAAATATGTTTTCAGTTTCTTGTGGGGAAAAGAAGACTTCGTATATTAAGAAAAAATGGACAAAATATAAACCCTGCCCACCCACCCCTTCTCAATTGTGATGAATATTTTATTCATTGTGAGCTGAAGCGCGGAGTTTATTGCAAAATCCTCATTTCTCTACAAGAAATTATTATATGAAACTCATCACAGTTGAGATTGGCAAAAATTGCAAAATCTAAAACTTTGAACGTCCAAAAGTTGGAACAGTGGCGTAACTACCGGTGTTCCGCGTGTTCGGCGGAACACGGGCCCGCTGCTTCAAGGGGCCCGGTCCGGTCACACGAACATTTTTTTATTAGATTTTTTTTATATTATTGCCCAAATTACATTCTGAAATAAAAAATTCGAAAATGTGCGGTAATCCCAGGATCGATGGTCGATTGCTATTTACGAATGTTTTGCTGCAAAGGGCGGCATCTCAATATCATAGACTCAATAAACTCGGGTTTTAGCGACCGGCACCGGCGGTCGAAAATGCAGCAGCATCTGTTTGTAATAAACCTGTCGCAGTGTCGCAATCCCATTGTAGCAAATCTAACACCCCATGTAGTAAATTACCAATCTTTATCCGACAAAAGTATGACTAGGTAATTTATGATGCAAGACAACAAAATACTTAAATTTTGTCCTCAGTTCTACAGTGAAACTTCATGCTGTAATAAAACGTGAAAAAAAAATCAGTTTCAGTTGTGTTTTATGAAAATTTTCGTATTTTCAAAACTATTTTAATTTTGTTCTTGTGGTGCTTTTTTGGAATAATAAAATATATCTGACGTATGTTACAACTAATTTTTTAAGTAGAAAAAAAACTGGACTGGGAAATTATTACAGAATGACCTACCTGTACTAGTGTCACTGAAATTATCACAGCATGTTTCACTTTTCTTACAATACCTCTTTCGGTGGTTTCAGCGGAAAGATCTTTTTCGAAATTAAAAATGACTAAAAATTTTTTAAGAAACAATGAGCCAATGCAGATTACCTTCATTGAATCTCTCAAATGGAAATCAAATTGCTAGAAGCTTAGATGTGTCAAATTTTGTATCAACTTGTGCCCATTGAAAAGCAAGAAGAAAACAATTTTGAGATTAAAAAAAAATGGGCATTTTATCTATACTTCTATAATTACTTATATTATAAAGTTGAAGAGTTTGTTTGGTTAAACGCGCCAATCTCAGAAACTACTGGTTTGAATTCAAAAAATCTTTTTGTGTTGGAAAGTCCGTTTATCGAGGAAGGTTATAGGCTATATAACATCACCCTATGATTAATAGGAGCGGAGCAGCAATGAAAAATATCGGAAAAACGGGAAAATTATTCTTCCTTTGACAACTTCCGTTGCTTACGCTGCTTATTAAACGGTTAAAGTTACATAAAAATCATGTATGATGGAATTGTTCCCTTCTAAAAGTTCTAAAAAAAAGTCCGCGACAGCATACGTCAATCTTTTAAGGTCGACTCAGTATAACCTTTTTATGGTAATGAATTTTTTTCTAAAATAATTTAATATAAAATTCTGGTGTCACAGTGTTTGTAACGAATCTCCTCCGAAACGCCTTGACCGATTTTTATTAATTTTTTTGCGTATATTCGGTAGGTCTAGTAAACTATTTTTTAAACCCCTAAGTGATAAGGGTGACCCACCAAACTTTTTTTATTTTTTAGACATTTTTTATTTTTATTTTTTTAAGATTTGGCATCAACAAATACATATAACCCTAAATTTTGACCCTTCTACCACCAACCCCCATTTTTTAATAACGATATGAGTATCTTTGCTTTCATCCACAGATGCGCAATAGGGTTGCAAGATGGCCATTGAATATAAATAATCATTGTCGTACGATAAATTTTTATGTATTTATTTTAATTTAATTTTTTATTTAACTATGTACCAAAATATTCACTAGAAATGCCAAAACAACGTTTGCCGGGTCGGCTAGTTTCTAATATTGTATATATTTTAATTATATGTCTTCAGGTAATTATTGTATTTTATTTTTTTAATTCAATGTTTCAGGTAGAATGATTTTAATAAAACGTTAGCCCTAATTGCAATCTACTCATTCTGTATTCATTATACTCGTATTTTTAAATATTTTTATTTCGCTGTTCATTAGGGGCTCCACAGTGTTGTAGAACACAGGCCCGCAGTTTGATTGTTACGCTACTGAGTTGGAAAATAGGAAAACTGGAAAATTTAAAATTGAAAAGTTTAAGAGATATCGTAAAATTAAAGAAAGAAAAAACCGAAAAATTAAAAGATTGCTTATCAGGTTATCAGAAAATCGCAAAAAAAATGATAATTTTTCAGAGAAGTGGGATTCATTTGGCTGCATTTCAGGGGCGAGGGAAGTTCTGTTCAAATAACCTTCGACCAATTTTTTTTTCAATTTATTTTTATGATTTAAAATAAGTGAGTTTATTGAGTTTTAGTTGAATGTTTCATTACCCTTGAAATTAAATACTCCATCGACGATAATATCAATTTGTTATAAAACACACAAAATGCTAAAATAAAATCAGTCAGTTTCTTAACTTTCTTCTCTTGCACCAAACAGAAAAAACTTCATAGTCCTTTTCATCTATGTATTATAATGTTACGTTGATCGGTGAATAAAATCGGCGTGGGTAAAACTCAACAAGTTATTACTTATTAACTCCAATTTACACTACTAATTACACATCGATTATGCACAAAATAATTCCGACTGAATTCTTTTATCGTTATCTGCACTACACTAACTGCTACCGACGGTGTTCACTGCTTCTAGGCTTTCGTTTAGCGAATGCCGTCCGACCTGCGTTATCGGCGATGAGTCAACCAACATAGCCCCACATACGAGAAAGCTATCGACGGACCATAGACGTCGTACCGGGGCGGCGTATGGGTTTATTTCGTAACAATAATATTATAAATAAGGCGATATTCTTTTTTTCTCACCTAGAATATACCTCGTAAAGTAGAAAATTCTAGTTACCTATATGAACTTTCAATAAAAGTTTTATTGGTCCTTTTTAAACGTTTTCTTTTTTTAGGGTGAAAATAAAAATCATAACGAAATATCCGGTAATTCACTTGTCATGCAGGCTGAGATAAACGGTGAAGATAGAACTTCATCAAGAACTAGTCGATCGACGTCAACAGAATATGGAGTCGTGTTAAGATCAAAATCGAGACGCAGCGAAGAGCTTGATTGCTCATTGCAAGAGGTAAAACTTTCTATTTCCCGAGCGTAAGCTAAGAAAGTATTGTAATAAGTAGGACCCATCTGACAAATGACTGCTTTCATGTTTTCTAGAGGTTACATAAACCCTACAGAGTGAAAAACTAGGTCTCGTTTGCATCTGGGTCGTCTGTTGTTTGTCCGTTTGTCTGTTTGTCTGGGTCAATTTTTATTAGACAGATAATCTCCGAAACAACTGAACCGATTGTTGTCAAATGTTTTATGTATGATAACCAACATTTTTGTCTAATGATCACCACCAACAATGTGATGACGTCCAATATTTACGATAGTAAATCGTATTCAAATTTAATGGAGTAACATACCCCTGCACTTGTGGTTTGTGAATCCGTGTTGAGCTTTTACCCTACACATCCAGATTTTGGAAAAAAAATGGAAATTGCTCATCAAATAAGATTTTTTCTTTATAAAGTAAAATTTTTGTTTCAGCTTGAGAGGATAATTAACACCATGACTCCACCAGAAATACCCCCGAAAAAATCAAAACAAAAAACAAGCGAGAATGACAAATGTGAGGATATAGTGTAATATATAAACTGGATTTATTTTTATGGTTAAGTTAAATTAAAAGTATTATAAAATAGGTCGATAGAATTTTATAAAAAAGAATACGTTGAAATTGTAAATATTTATTAAATTTTCTAATATTAATATAATACATGAATTTTTGTACCACTGTATATTAAATACCCACTGTAATTTTAGTCTCTTTTTGAGAATCATTTTTACAGAAGTGGTACAACTTAAATTGCGGAAATTAAGCAAAAAATTATATTATTCATAGTTTAAAAATATTCAGAGACTAGTAGGTCAGTAGGTATGTACAATCAGTTTCATTCTGTTTCGAAAAATGTTAAAGATGAACTCAAAATTAATTCTCCCATTGAGAAGTTTTGGCAACTCAGTTAGTCTGCTGCTGAATTTAAAGAACGTGTAGGTAATACAACGTCAATAAAAAGACGCGCGTCGACCCAGGGGCGCACGGATAAAGTTTTAACTCTACGTTGCCAATTTATATAGATTAAACACGTATACGCGGCGAAGTCATTAATTTTCTCTTAAAAAATATTAAAAAGCAAAAATATGTTGCCTTCGTATTTTTTGACAAAATGATGATTAATGGTGATGATTGAGTTAATTAAAGTAAATATCCATGTATTGTCAATTGTTGTTTATTATAAAATATAGGAGTACTTTTTTTATTTATTTATCATATAGAAATATCATATTTAATTATTATAATAATATTGTATAAAAAAATTAAAGTACAATGTGTAATTTACCAACTAAAGTATCAAGCAAAGATTTACAAATGCTAGAGCAGTATTTATAACTTATTCGATTTGAAATACAAATTACTGTTCAATCATAGTGTTATCGTCTTCAGTATCTTTATCCCTATCATTTAATACAGTCATTAGTGGCCTATGGTGACTAAAATGAGTAATATAAGTAAGTAGCAGTTCTTAAATGAGTAATAAAGTGTGTGAAAACGGTATTAGTTGTTGTACCTAATTTAGTCGTTGGAACAGTCAAACGAACACATTTTAATAAATAGTTTATTAAACTCTTATTAGTTTATTTCTCTCTCTCTTTCTATAGGACGGCGTTACATGCCTATGTTCAGACTCAATTCAGAGCGGTCTCGGTGTCCTCTTATCTTTGAAATGAATGACATAGTCCACCAAATAAATTTGCACTGTTTTTTTTTTCTGTTATACCGAAGTCTACCGGTACAAGTGTGAAGCCCATGTCCACGTTCATTATGCCTTCCATATTTCCAATAAAATTCTAAAATAAAATGAGCAGATTTTACCGTTAATTTTCAGTTTTGCAATTTTGTATTACTGGAATTATACCAGCATGAACACATACCTTAAAATATGCTATAATTTCGCTATAACAAACGACAAATCTCTTCTAGTCGGTTTAACAATTATACATATCTGTTGCTCACATTTTGTCAAAATTACGGTGAACGATATTAACAGTAATTTTAAAGATAAAAAAACAAAAAAATTGTTGAAAGAAATATTAGTTTCTTTAATAAATTTTACCGATCTATATGCAATAAATTATATTTTGAACAGTTATCAGTAATTCTGTGCTTTAGATTTAAAAATGAAAATTTTGAAGAAGCGTTTCAGAAAATTATTACACTTTGCGTATCAGACTCAGAACCGTTTGAGTTAACAGGTGACTTCATAAGTGAAAATGAAGATATAATAAAACGAAATTTAACTCAGGATATAATATACAAAAACAGTCCTTTTTATATAGAAATGAAAAAAATTAAAGATACTGTTTTAGCAATAACAGATGATACGGGCAGCGAAGAAAATTTATTTCTTAACATTAATTTTCTGGATTTAGTATTAAAAAAATATATGCCTTATATCCCGTTCTGGTCCGGTTTAATAATGTTGGACAAAAAAATTACAAGTTCAGTAGACTTAGCAATGCAAATGTTGAAAACTGGAATAACGTTTTGAAATATGAACTGCTGAAAAGCAAAAATAGTGTAAACGCTAGTAGGGTTGTTAGACTATCACGTCAACATGTGATTTTTGTTCATAAGGAACTGAAATTTTATTTAAAGAAATCTAAACTTACAAAAAATATTTCCCACGATTTGGGCACCGAAGAAAAATGGAAAAGAAAAAGAAAAAATAAATTTAATTATTTTAACGCAAAATGTCTAATGAATATTAAAACACAAGCTGTTGAAAAAGATTATATAACTCAAGCTTACCAGCACAAAAATAAGAGCTATGAAATTATTGAAAAACCTAATAATTTTCCTACTATAATGAAAAATGGATTAGTTAATGACATAAACTACTACAAACCAATAAATACAGACAAAAACTATACTGTCACGAAATTCTCAAATTTGAGAATAATCGTTAATTAAATAACAATTAACAATATATATATCAGGTTGAACGCGTCAGATAACACCAATTCTGTAGAAAAATGGCTCACAAATTGGTTAATTGATATTGGGATGGGAATTATACTCCGAAATTCAGGTGTTGACAATATCACTGTTTTTACTTGCGATGAAGGTGACATCGTTGTGTTCACAACTGAAAATATTTCTCAAAACCAAGAAATTTTTCCACTTCGAATAAAACAGCTACCAGCTATAAAAGATGTAATTGTAATGCCGACGCGTTTGAATGGAAATCATTGGACTTTGGCTATTGCAAACATTCCCAATAAAGAATTTTATTGTTTTAATCCCGTTGGAACGACTGTTAGTGATATTAGTGAAATGTTAGACAAATTTAAAACATTTTTGAAAGAATATAATTTTGTATCGAATAAAAAAATTCCCGTAATCACCTGGCATGCTAAGTTAGTGACAAATTATTATAAGAGGCAGCAAGATAACTACAATTGTGGAATTATATTATTCGAAAATTTTCTATCAAAAAAATCCTTTGAAAACACATGCTGTCCAAATCTGTATAGAAATGAAATGAAACAAGTAATCATTAAAAATTTCGACAATATGAGTGACTACTGTCTATATTGTGGGATTATAGAAAAAGAACAAACAATTAACAAGTTTGTTTTTTGTGACTGGTGTAATCGATTAGCACATTATTACGTGCATTTATCTCCTTCGAAACGACATAAATTATTCAAAGTATCCCATGTCATACATCTGTGATTTGTGTAAATTATCAAATTATTATTGCTAGAGATAGTTTTCTTTTTCAGTTAAATATATTTATAAATCTGCATATTGTACCAAAGGTATTTTTGTATTCTCTCTATAAATATTCTCTTGTTTAAAAATGTTATTTATTAAATATGTTTGATATTGTTGGTCTACTAACAAGGATATAGATTTTATAGTTTTTGTTACAAAGAATATAGTCAGTCATGTATTATCTACTTAAATTTTGGTGATTTTGATTAATACGTAAATAATTGTTGATTTCATTAAAATTAAAAAACAAATGAAAGTGTTACTCAGCTTAATATCATTGTTTAAGTATATATAATATACCTAAACAATGCTAATATAATACATATTTACTTAAACTGTTATTAATTTTAACATTGTTGGTTTATTAACTGCGATATTATGTTTTTCTATTGTATCTTTTCTAAATAAATATTTTGTGAATTTTTGTTGTACTTTTTGTTTTTAATTCGTTATAAATTCTAAAGATCTCCCACACTGAATTTTCATCGTGGCACAAACACTGATAAGCGAATTACAGGTGTGTCTTATATGGTATGCCCGTGCACACCCTCATCCCCTAAAATTTGAATTATTTTTCAAACCGTAATTCGCTATAACCTATGTTGTAAATTATAAATCCAGATGAGCATAATTTGAAATAGCTCACTGTAAACAGAACTAGTTGGATGTTTGTTAGTTGATAGCGTATCAGATACCGTTTTCTGTTTTGTAGAAAATTTAGTCACTCAAACTTAGACAAATGTTTCTGCGAATCAGGTAACCAACAACACTTCTTAAATTCTTTCTTTCGTGGGATTTAGCAAAGTGCTAGTGAATAATATGTATAAATATTTAGTAAATATGCGCGAAACAAGTGAAGCAGCAATATTAACTATAGACCCAGAGCAAGGTATGTTTACTTTATATTAACCTTCAGCACTTTGAATAAAATTCTGGCTTAATTTCACAGAAAATTTTGACAATAAAACCAACACTAAAGGCACTAGTTTCTTTAAAATTGTCAGAAAATTGGCGTCTGCTTGCAACGAGAGAAAAATCAACTTTAAACAAATTAAAGCACTGAAAGAAAAGCATGAATTTCTCCGGGAGTTAGAAATTTTGAAGACATTGGATGATGACAGTAGTCAAACTCGTTATGTCTCACCAGAATCTAAGATTTCTTTCAAAGAGGACTTGTTAACAGAAGTATTAGATATGTTTTGTCAAAAATGTGGGGACGACAAAATAGATTTATGGTTTTTTGCTTCTGCAACATGTAATGTAAAAATATTAGAGGAAACTGCCAAAGATTACGATGGAACACTCCTTTGCAAACCACGATGTTGCGATTCGGCTCTAGTTTTCTTATTGAAGTATGGAAACATTCACAACGAAGGTTTTTTAGAGTGCGTAAATATTTTACTCACGGCTGGAATAAGCGTAAATGAACCCGATTTTAATGGACGAACTGCCGTCGATATCGTTTGTAGCTTATATGAAAATGAAAAAAACAAAGACATCCTGGAAAAACTAAAAAAACTGGTGTTCAAGTTTCTCGAACAAAATGTGTGTCACCACCTGTTAGAGAAGAAAACAAAAATAATTCTTCAAAATTTACAAGAAGAAAATAAAAACTTGCCATCTCAAACACAAGAACAACATAAATCTGAAGAAGCAAACAAACTTCAATTATTTGCGTGGATAGGTAAAGAACGAACGCAGGAATTCCTCGGTTTTAGAGAAATACGCAATTTTATCAACTGTGATAACGGTGAATACACTTTGTTGCAATTTGCATGCAAAAAATCAGAAAGAATGCATCCAGTCGTCAAATTCTTAATAGACAACGGTGTGAATATCAACAATGTGACAGAAATTTACAAAATCACCCCTCTGGAACTTGCAGCCAAGAACAATCACGAAAAAAGTTTCCAAATCATACTTAAGAACAAGAATCTTAATATTACACAAGAAATATTCAACAATTTTGTCAGGTGGCGTTCCAGTCCTATGAAATTAAAAATTTTTGAAATGTTTTTAGAATCTGATAAACTGGATCCTTGTTTCACCTACGAAACAACTGGAAACACTCCTTTGCACTACGCAACACGTTTTTGTCACAAAGACGCAATGCGAAAGTTACTGAAACGTTCTCCGCAAACGCTGTTTGTTGAAAACAAAAACGGAAAAACTGTTCTCGATATAATCGATATTCAAGAGGTTGAAAAATATTTTGATTCTTGTTTGGTTTCGGACAGATATGCGACGGATTTTAGTTCCACTGACTACAAAATGCTCTTTCGCTTTAAGTCACTAGTAACAATTAATAATAATGGTGAATATGATGAAGAATCAGTTGTTGCGAAAGTTGTAGAACGCAACCACTTAGAACAATTGTTAACGCATCCTCTGCTACACACTTTCATTATTTTAAAGTGGTCTAGGACCGTCTGGTACTACTGGATGATTCTGCTTTTACAAGGTTTTCTGTTTATTGCTTTAAGTGTTTGTATTTATAGATTATCGGACTGTTCTCCAGCTGAGTTCAAGTGGCTCATTTTCTTAACATTTATTAATTTGTTTTTAAAGTTAGCCGTCGTGCTCAAACCCAGATTTTGGGCTTTAGACAATCTAAGAATGCCAACACTGTATGAATGTGGCGAAGTTTTACTAATGTTGACTCTTTTTGTAAGTTTCTTTTCTGCTGAGTGGAGAGCATTTGCTTTCATAGAAATGTCACTTTTATTTTTACTGACCGTTGGCTACCATCCAAAAATCGCCAAGTGGACTGTTATGCTAAAAAGAGTTTTTAAAAGTTTTACTGTACTGATGGTGTTTTTCTCTATAATAATCATAGCTTTTGCTGCTGCTTTTCACACGCTTTTCAAAAACACTAACCACGATTTTTTCGATTCTATTGGTAAATCGATTTTCTTGATTTACGTGATGATATCAGGCGAATTTAACATCGAAAATGTTAAATTCGGGCGGGCGCATATTGGAGGTTATATTCTGTTTTTCATTTTTGCAATTTTTGTGGCCTTGGTTATAGTGAATTTTTGGACTGGCGTGGCTGTCACGGATATTGAAACTATACAGAAAGATGCCGAAATTAACGCCTTTAAAAATGTTATAACGTTTATGATGTTCGTTCAAAGAAATATTTATGTGAATAAGTCTATACGGAAATTTTTACCTTATCCTTTTTTATTCACTGAAACTGAGCACAGAAATTACCAAGTCGATTTCTATATAAATAAGAAAAATCAGTTTGAAGGAAGAGATAATTTTCCTGCAAGTATAGGGCAAAATTCTTTAGAGAAAATTAAGAACTTTAATTCGAAACACCAGAATGAATTAGATGGGGCAAACATTTTATTGAAGTTAGAAGAGATATCGAAGATTCTAAACGAACTAAAGAACACTGCACATAGAAATGGGAACTACAGTATAAACGTAAAAAACTCAACTGCACAAAATGATAAAAACAGAAATCGGCAAAAGGAAAAAGTGGTTGATGGGGTACATGGAAATGGTAAACAATGAGCCTATAATTTTATTTATATTTTTAGTTTCATCCAGATATTGTTATAATTGTTTATTCATTTCTTGAAACATCTATAATTAGTAATTATTGTGTAGTATGTCTAAGTTTTTAAAATTGTTTGCTATGTTATGTTTAAGAGTAAATCAAAAGAGTGAAAGTAACCAGTCACCCGATAGACTAGATTACAATATTTCCTAAGCTAACCCAGTGGATAACATTGGCCAAATCTTGAAGGAAGATAATAATCGTAGTATTTATTTTTAGCAAAACGATCCCAGTTTGTCGAACTACGAAGATTAAATTCGATTAACGGCAAGTACCATGACAACATATTATTTATTTTTAAAATAAATATAGTAGTTCTTATCTTTTTAAGATAACGGTTAAGCAAATTTGTTCGCAATACGACCAATAAAAAAAATTTTTGAACTAATTTCGACAAAACAGGTTATTATTAAGTAAATAATGAATTTTAACCAAAATTTTGTGTTAAAATAACAAAAATGTCTACAACAGAATTAAGCACAATAAAACTTTTAATTGGTTGTCTATCTTACTTGAGTGTGTGGTAGGGAGTTTAAGTCTAACCTATGATTAATAAAATGCAAATCCATTTTTTTTGTGTAGTACATAATTCGTAGTTCCATACCCCACCACAGCAATACAACGATACCAGATTTCCTTGCTTTTACCAATTTCGCCGCACATGCGGAAGATGTCTTCTCAATCTGATTCAATTCCTGTTTTATATAAACAACTGACAGTGATTTTCAGTCTAAATAAATATCTGTCATAAATGCTATCTAAAACAAGAAGCAGAAGTGAAATGCGCCGATTTTTCTTTCTGCGTTATTATGTATTTTCAGTCTTCTCCTTAGCGCTTTTCATGGTATTCGTCACGTAACATTTGCCTAAGGTTTTAGTCCTTTACATGTAGTTTACGACGTCAAGTTTTTATCCGAAACGTCCAGATTTTGAAAAAAAAAATAAAATTATAAAACAACATTTTGCAATTTAATTTTGAATCTGCAAAACCGAATGCTTTGAAATCTTGCAGATATTTTAAAGTTATGATAAGCATCATAAATTTTTAATCAAAATATATTTGCTTATCCCCTCCAAAAAATTGATGAACTTAGCTCAAAATTTTGTCGAATAAATCATCTCTAAAATGCCCAAAATATGATGAGTCTATACTTGTAATTTATCATTTTATTCATACTTTTGGATTTTCTGGCCAACTTTGACTAACTTCTCTTTCCATCACGCGGTAACTGTTAAACGTTTTAGATTTATTTGATCATAGACCTGTTCATGAAAAAAAGTCCTAGTTGCCTAGTTCTAAAGTTTGTCCAGAATTATAAGAATTTTCTGGACTCTGTCGTGCCCAAATAGTTTTGACCGCGGCCGAGCTTTTGGACACTAACAAAATTATTTATTTGGGTGTAGGCCCATTTCCTTGGAAATGGAAGAGCTAAACTGCATGTAGGGGCAGAAGTAATAATTAAACATTTATAACATTTTTATACGTATATTAAAAGAAAGCATTATAAGCATGTCAAAAGAATAATCGAGTAAATGTGTAAATAATCAACAGAAAAATAATACATAAAATGAATTCACACACATAATACAAAAAAAACAAAACAACATGCAAAACATTCTTCTAAAGCGCTACGCAATTATATTCCACTAATAAAACTCTTAAAATCTATGAACATAACCCACATTTTTAATTAATAATCTTAATCCTAGAAAATCAGCATGCAAAAAGAGTAAAAATTAATTCGGTAAATCCTTAATTAAATGCAACACCTTCTAAACCATATTGATATTACGAGCGTGATAAATAAACAAAAAACAAAAAAAACTACTAACTACGAAATCGAATAATTACTTAATTATTTAAATAAATTGCGATAGGGCATTTATATATTAATTAAATCATTAAACAACTGAAATAATAATAAAACCAATAATTCAGTGGATTCGAAGAAATCTCCACTGATTATAAGAACAACTAAAAATAACGGATTAAAATCATGCACTTAAATCTACGACAACTTATGAATATAAACATGTAAAAAAGAGAGATAAATGAGTTTTTACATACATCGATTAGCTAACTATGCCGAGCACAACAATTGTTCACGAGAAAAATTGATGGTTACAGGACAGTTAGATACATGTAAAAATAAACAGTCATAATTTATACATGCAATTAAACATTGGGACATTAGTATCATAAATGCGCTAAAATACAATGAGACGATTAAAATAAAATATAATGTGAGGTTTCCAAATACTATAGCAAAATAATCAGAGAACGGAGTCATATTTAAACGGCAAAAATTCAATATAAAATAATCGACAGCAAGAAAATTAGATTAAAAGGTTTCAATTCGGGAACTTCCCAAAAACGCACATAAAATATTCATGTCGTAAGCAAAGAATTAAATCGGCAGATTTAAAGAGATATTGGAATAATTATCATAAAAGCAAACGGTAAAAATTAGAAAAATCCTCTCCAAAAACGCATATAAAATATTTATGTCGCAAGCAAAGAATTAAATCGGCAAATTTAAAGAGATATTGGAATAATTATTATAAAAGCAAATGGTAAAAATCAGAAAAATCCTCTCCAAAAACGTATATAAAATATTTATGTCGCAAGCAAAAGAGTTAAATCGGCAATTTACAGAAATATTGGAATAATTATTATAAAAGCGAACGGTAAATTATCGAAAAATCCTCCCCAATAATCAAGAACCGACGCAAGGCTAAACGTGCCACCTGCAAACGGGAACATATGGAAGCACTAAAGATTACTTTCGGTGCCGGCGCTAACTGTTCACACCCAACGTAACGGAGAAAACGCATAAATTAAACGCTACACATGTACGATTCGAACTCGAGAACACATGACGAAAAAACGGAAAGCAAGATAAATTAAGAATGACTAAAAGGTAGACTTCTTACACAGCTGCAGCATTGAGAATTTTTTCTATCTTCCTCTCGGGCTCAGTAAATTCTTCTAAGTTCGGATTTCTTCAAAATTCAGCAAAAATTAATGAAAAATCTCGACACTGGTTTGGACAGAGCCTTCGGCGGCAACTGGAAACTTCTACTCAAACTGAATCTCTTTCCTGCTCGAAATTCAGCCTTATATAGCTTCGTTTTGGACAGAAATAGAACCGTGCTTTTGTGTGGTACTATATGCCCTTATATGGTCATGAAAATGTGAAGATGCGTCGACCAATCGGTAAGTCCGCTTCCTTATATGGTAAAAATATGGGAAGCTGATGAAATCTCAGTTCCGGGGATGAAGTGGGGATCATTCTAGCGAGGGCTAAGATGAGTGTGCGTGCACAGATGCACTGCTGGGTTGATGACGTAGTAAGTTTGAAGCGATGGCGTTCTTTGATGGTTTTTTATGCGTCTGCGTTTCGTTTGCAGCTGTTTTAGTTTGGATACAATTTTAGATGAAAGTAATTGCGATTGGCGATGTTTCTGGCGCATTATTTTGTACAAGTTATTTGCAATGTCTGGCAAGCGCAATGTTATTCGCAATTTGCGAATACGCGAATTTTTGTTCCTGCATTTTTTTATTTGAATGGTACTATATGCCGATTAGAACATGCGTGTTAATTAATTAAGATTTGCAAATTTTCCAGTTATGTTTTGAGGGTTTGTTATTAGTCTTTTTAGTTACAATTTTCTCGTGAACGAATTTAGTGACGGCTCGTCACAACTCCCAACGTTAATTCGTTTTACAGCCCAGGCATCAATTCTATTGCACAGTTAAAGAGCCTGTCAAGGGAAAGCCGAGGTTTTCTGTACCTGAGTTCGGCCCGCTCTTCAGCTGTACAATAAAATTGACAACAGGGCTGTAAAACGAATTAGCTTTGGGAGTTCATAAAATTCTTATAATTCTAGACAAATTTTACATTGATATTGATATCGATACATTTATATACTGAATGTTCATATAAATCATTTCTAATTACGGTTATTTTAATATAAAATAAGAATTTTATATCACCAGGTACTCAACTGCAGATAGCTGAGATAAACGTATTATTACCAAACAGTCCTATCATGAGGATTATCTTGTTGACTAATAGCAAAGAACAATAGGTGCAACCCCTTGTACCTGCAAAGCTTCTTACAAAGGGATTATATCTTCTGTTTTTAACTATTGTATTGTTTTAAAGTTAGTCAACTGGTCAAGCGTTTTGAAAATACAAATTAATTACAAGATTTTTGGCTTCTTCCCCCAATGGTATTGTTGGGAACAACGCAATAATTGAAGTAAAATGTCCTTATTCAGCCCCCGATTAGGTATAGTGTGAAACAGGCTGTTAGAAAAAAAATACTGCAAAATAGATAAATTTAACAAAATCAAATTAAAAACAAACCACAAGTAGTATTTTCAAGTACAGGGTCAGGTGCACATAACTGGACGAAATATATGCTATTTTGTATAGTTTTGGAAATTTAATTCTACCCTATAAAATTTTATTGACAATAACGAGTCGGGCAGTAGTACAATTGTAAGAAATATTTATAGCTCACACTAGTTCACCTGAATTTGCAGGAGAACATTTAGCAGGTATACTTAGTTAGTTGTACTCATAAAATTATGGTCATTTTCGTTCGTGAGAAACGATGGTTCCTGTCCGGACCTGGATTATTCTGCTTTCTAACATCTGTAGATTACCGGCACGAGACAACTTTAAGTTGTAAATATCTCTTACTATTGTACTACTGTTCGTCTCGTTATTACCAATAAAATTTTATAGAGTAGAATGAAATTTCCAAAACTATAATATACACGAATAAAGATGTGGACTGGCAGATATTAAAAACAATTAGGAAATTATTTTTGGCAACATTTTATGGCGTTGCCGTCACAATTATTTTATATGTCAGCACTGCTTCCAGAAATTTGAGATTCGCGAAAAAGAAGAAATTTGCCTCTGCGAGCAATTAAATTTTCAGATTTATAGAAAACAATGTAACGAGTAAAATTAGTGTATATGTTTATATGTATATTTTTTTAATTTGAGTATTATTTAAATAAAATGTTTGAAATTAGATCCTAAGTACCCCAGAAACCAAGATCACCTAATAAAATAAAATGTTTATATGCATTAGGTTCCAATAGATTCCCTAAGTCATACATAATTCCTAGGTCAGCCCGATTTGAGTCAAACAGGAAGTAAATAACATTGCAAACGAGGCATATAACCAATTTTAGAAATTTTTTGTTATATATTGCATTGATTGCAAAGAAATGTACCTGTATAGGTGTAAGTATATATATGTTACGGTTAAAGTGAATAATCGGCTAGTTTCCAAACTAACTGGTTGTTATGTAAACTAACCAAGTCGCTAGTTATTATAGACGAAAAACTATTTTCTCTTACATTAGCAGGGTTTCGTGGTTAATTTGTAAACTGCCCAGATAGTTTATAAACTACCGTACAAGTTTGGATAATTTACATACTTTTTTTAAAGTACATAAATTAACCGAAAAAATTGGTTAGTTTACAAACCAGCCACTTTGTTCTGGTTAAAAGAAGAACTTTTTCTCTAGTATGATAAAATAACCAATGAATTGTATCATTGCCTGCAATGAACACTAAAACAACTGTCTGTTTGCATACTAACTGCCTAAAATATGATACAATTCATTGGTTATTTTACCGTACTAGAGAAAAAGTTCTTATTTTAACCAGAACAAAGTGGCTGGTTTGTAAACTAACCATTTATTTCGGTTAATTTATGTACTTTAAAAAAAGTATGTAAATTATCCAAACTTGTACGGTAGTTTATAAACTAGCTGGGCAGTTTACAAATTAACCAAGAAACCCTGCTAATGTAAGAGAAAATAGTTTTTCGTCTATAATACCTAGCGACTTGGTTAGTTTACATAACAACCAGTTAGTTTGGAAACTAGCCGAGTATTCACTTTAACCGTAATATATATATTTATTCAAAATCAAAAAATTGCAGTGATTTGGTTTGCGATATTCCGCACAGACAAATTTCTGGGAAACCTTATCTTCAAATCTACTTAAAAACCCTCCCACTGAACATAATCCACAAGCGAAAAGATGCAGGTAGAAGAATAAAGCATAGAGGGTTGCAGCATCTATGATACATATTAGTATAGTGAACCAAGAGTTATAAGGTTATATGGCCATCATAAAATCATCTCATTGTGTCGAAGTTAAGTTGTTTACAATAGAAAAGGTTTTAGGGTCGTAAATAACGTGTCCACTGCAGCTCGACCGGCTCGTGTGGTTTCGTTCAGAGGCGGCTTTCACTAAATATGAAAATCCACCACTCCACTATTTCTTTACTACCTGCAGCCGCTGAGGGTTCCGAAATAATCACTCGCTTTGAAAGCCGGCCCTGTTAAATATGAGCAAGAAATGTTTAGAAGATGATTTATTGCCAACCGGTAAGCTTAGTGCGAACCACACAAAGCGGGTATTTATTTGCGGTCAACTACTTTTATGATGGCCATATAACCTTATAGGTCTTGGTTCACTATATACATATATAACACTCGAGTGTTTTCGGATCTCACTGCTAAGATTAAATTCCTTGAAAGCGGTCCGTGTAACAATCTACCTGACTACCTGTTCACGTATTGAAACAAATACGGTCCTGGAAAGGTAAGGGTGTGGAGTAATCATGATTGACAGTTTTATGCTGGGTGCACTTTCCGAAGTCGGAAATTTTACAGCTGCAATTCCCATAATTCGAGTCGTTTGAAAATATCTTTCGTCCTACAATAAAATATCTACAACGGGCGAGTCAACGTTTATGGCATCTTCAACTGTTTTTTCTTTCAGACGATTTAACTAAATTAGCAGTATACATTATTTCGGATACGTATTTAGTTTTCAGATTATTATTATATCACGCGTAAACAGCGCAAGTCTTATAAACTATAAAATAAGGCTAACACTTCTTCTCATATGTTCGGGTATAAATGAATAGTACATTATTGATTACGGATTGTATCCTCAGTGTTGGGGACAGATACTTTTAAAATTATCTAGATACAGATAGTTTTCAATTTTTTCGAAATGTATCTAGATAATAGATACAAAAAAAGATACTTTTTTAAATTTTGGCCAATAAAACAACTGATAACAAAGTTTTATTTATTTTTTAATGAATCTTAAAATTAATATTTCAAATATGTTGCCGCCTAAATTATTTTTTTGTGGAGTAAGAATTTGATTTTCGCTGCTAAACACCCGCTCCAAAGGTACGGAAGAAGGAATTGTTGTGTTACATTTAAAAAATAAATGTTTTGCAGCAGTATTCATTCACATTTAATTACAAAACTATGTAATTTGTGCTATTTGAAAAAAATAATCGTTATGTAACCTGTAAGTTTTGCGTTTTGCAATAAAAAATGTGCCATATTTAATAATACAAATACAACCAGCGGACCTAACTGACCCAGGTGGCGTCGATGCACAGGTAAAATGTCTGCCCCTACAATGTATTCCCCCTCCCCGGTATTATTCACTGAAAGTTTAACTTACCGTAAAATTGTCAAAGTTATACCTGGCGTTGCTTTATTCCATCTCTCCCTCAGTCGACCCCCTCAGTGTTAGTTTCAGTTTATGCTTTACGAAATTCAGACGTCCCTCTGTTTTAACGTTCCATCATCAAGACGTAGTGTGTGTTTTATTCGTGTGAACGAGATGGCCTACACTAAGTTGTTAAGAAAGTAATTTATTCTTTTTTCTTATAAGTTTTTTTTTCTGTTTTCTAGACCAATGTCTTATATTATTCTCCATTAGACAGAAAACCTCATCGAGGAACGATTTGAGAAAAATTTTTTTTTGCAGGTGCAAAGAACTGTAAGAATGTTACAGTGTGGATAAGGTACATCCATACATGGAAGAAAGTTACTTGCTCAAAATATAACGTCTGGATAGCATGCAGTAGACGACTTGTTTGTTAAAATACCGCCTTAGGCTTCACAAGGATGAAATTCCCGCATGGTCACTCAATACGACAACGATACTTTCCATTGTCGGATGATGAAGATGATGCCGATGGCGGTGTATATATGTGAATATACGAGTAAGTTTTTAAGAATACAATTTATTCTTTTGTCTTATAATTTTTTTTCTTTCTTTTTTCTAGATCAACGTCTTACCAGTTGAAGAGACACAATTAGCCAATAACACGTGACGTCACGCTGTGGCGGGAACTCAGCGTTTGACAAGCGCCGTGAAACTCCATAAGTGACAATGTTAACATTTTCGCATTTTATTTAAAAGTGTGGGTATTTATCTAGAAAATAAACACGTGAATAGCTTCTTTCATATTTTTTCTGTGTATGAGGGTGCTTTTTTTGGCGATTTCAGTTTAGAAATACATAATAAAAATACAGAACGCTGTTTTGGTCTGAATTCCTCGTCACCCAAAATACATCCGTGTGTTTTAGGCGGTAAATCGGAAATTAATATTTTCGTTTGAGGTTAATGTGACGGGTTTAAGTGAAGGTGTGTAATTTGTTTTTAAAGTATGGATAATTTAAGTGATTATGCACGATGTCTTTCCGTCAAAGAGAAAAACAGATATGTACAAAAGTTAAACAATTTAAACGGCGTAGATCCTTATACAATGAGTGCAAGTGATTTTAATTTGTGTTTAGACGATGTCCCTACCATAACAATGAATACCATTCTATTTTTTTTTATTTTTGGAATAAGTAAAATAACCCACAATGAAATTCGTGCATTCAAAAGTCTAGAGGCATTTATTCAGTTTTCTCTTTTTTAAACGACTGTCTTTCAACATTACAAGTATTATGAGTGGATTTATTTTGATATCCTAAATTTTGTGATGGAACATAATCATGATGGTCCACATCTGACGAATCTGCAGGTTTACCTAAAAGAGCACCAATGTAGTAATTTATTAAAAACTGTAAATCTAATAGGTAGTTACTGTACCAAAATAAAATGATCCGAACAAACATAGGAATACTTTACTTTGGCTTCGTTAAATCCACTCGTTTCAAGGCTTTTAACCAAAGCTTCCGCCTTTTTTCCCCATCCTGTGTATATTTACCTTTATTGTTGCTAATTGCTGGGAAAGGAAAATAAAATTTGTCCGCATTTCTGGTGCTTCGATTCGCGCAACCCACAACAGCACAAAATTTAGGCATTTTCTCCTAAAATACAAAATATTATATTAAGATGCTAGTGTATTTAAAAAACATTGATGTACATTAGCAAAGAATTAATTTGCAAAACAAATAATATAAGATGTAGCGAAGTTAACCTGTACATCACATTGGAAAACATTATTTTTTAAGCATATTCAAACGTTATGGTGCGTTTTACAGATATCTACACAGTCTAGAAACTGTAACAAACTTACCAAACTATAAAAACACAGTTGACACGCTCTCAAATTTAAGTGAATCCCGAAAATATTAGCATTGACTCTTATGAGAAAACCGGCTAGTTGTCAAACGCTGCCATCTTGATAACCTCGGATGACGTCAGTGTATTTGGCTAATTAAGAATGAAACGTGTATTCATCACCCTTCGAAGAGGACATATAACAAGAAAAGTGCGTCATCGGAATGTCTTTAATAATAAAAAGCTAATAGACAAACATCGTCATTGAGATAATGCCAAGTGCTAATTGTCTTTACGATCTTATTTTTAGTTAATAATGCAATCGATCAAAGAATTATCAAAATGATTCAGACATTAACTCACATCAACTCGTATTATACATTTTTGGATAGTGGCATGTAAGTTCATAATGATTTAATGCTGCTGTAATTACTGTTTTATTTATTGATTCAATTGCGTAATCTTGTATAATTATCGTCTTTATGTATATGTATGTATGTAACCCGCAATACACAAATAACATATATATTTTAATTGTTTAAATCCGCTATCAAATTAATTGTGATCTAATTAAATTTTAATAATGGTCTAATTAACTTAATTAACGTACTCGAATCTGCCAATCATCTTTGATTATTCCATTGTTTTAATTAATTAAGCTCAATTAATGACCTCACTAATTATAGGCACTATCTTCTTATAAATATTAGCAAAGGGATCGAAATTTTACTGTCGAACTCGCTCCAATGGCTAGTTTAAGATTTTCTAGACGTTTCATGACCCCGAAGAAATAAGTCGTCCGTTTCTATCTGTCTGCTGCCTGTCGTCTGTCTGTATGTCGATCTGTCCGTCTATCTTTCGTCTGCATCGATTGTTAGTAGAAAAATAATTTCAAATTTCGCAAAAATCTTTGAAATAGTTCTGTACTCGCATATCTATTTTCATATTCAGAATTACATATCACCTCAACAGCATGGTTTTATGAATAAACGCTCCACTGAAACAAATTTCACATGTTTCTCAAAATTTCTTTCAAAGGCACTTGACAATCCATCCCAAGTTGACACCGTTTAATCAGATTTTGCAAAGGCCTTCGATCGAATTGATAACAGGTTATTATTGTTAAAGTTAGAATTGTACGGTCCATAACTTGACATCTATCCACTGCGCATACAAATATTTTGGTAAAGAGCCCCATAAATGTCATGTGTAGTAATTTTAATAACAAACTTAGAGACTGTGTAACGTTTCAATTTTGTTGAAGAGATAAACGTTCCAATTGTTTTGTTTCATCCCTCCTTAAAAAAAAAAGGGTTGTTTTATTGGGGATGCAATATTATACGTGCCGACATCTAAGACATCATGGTTGCCTATGGGGAGTGTCAAACGACGTCGTGGCACTGCTAATGCGCTGGTACTCCCACCCCGCGAAAAAGAATATTCGAGAGAGTATCGACCTGATAGGGGAAGAGAGAGGTTCTCGTGAGGCGTTTTGGCGAAGATCCTGAAGGAAGGAAGTGCTAGGACGTAGCCGAAGAGGAGGAAAGAAGTTTTCGAGAAGGTTTTGGCGAAGATCCTGGAAGAAGGAAGTGGAAGGACGAAGAGGAAGTACTCAAGATAGAGATTTTTATCGTTTTGTTCGAAGCAAGAGGTTTAGTTGAGCCGTTTTCGTATCGTCCACTACAGAAAAGAGGAATTTTATCGTTCGTTTTTTTATCACCGCACCCAAGTGAAGAGTTCCTGGAAGAACCAAGCTTATCGTGATGCCGTTGCAGTGAGTAGCTTATTGTCGTCCCTGTTGTTCCCTTGAAGAGACCATATCGAACCGACGACTTTGATTTTCGCTGCTGTTCCTGCGGAGCCGCCGCTAACCTTGAAGTTTTTCTTCGGATCCAGAGGTCTGTGACGCCGCTGTTTCTTTATCAATCCCAATCCAGACGAAGAGGAGCTGCTGATAACTACGGTTACGAGCTAAGTCCACTCTAACGCCTTATAGTTCTAATTTTCCATTTAGTCGCCCGGTCACAGCTATCTTTATCGAAATTCTTGGAAGTTTTTTTTGTATTTTAATTTATCATATCGCAAGATAGTTTGTACGAGGACACATGAATACATTTCATTTTCTGATATATTACGTTAATATATTTCAATGATAGTCCCTTCTGGACGTTAATGGTATTTTTTTTTTTTGTGAAATATTAGAAGAATTTCATTTAATCAACACTTGTCAATTTTATTATCCGTTGAATATATTTTTAGTTTTTTTTTCCTGTGTTTTCTTGTGGCTTGATTCTTCTCGACTGTTTACTCGACGTAGCGGAGTAAACTACCCCAACAGGAAGCTACGTGGCGCCCAATACAAAAAAAAATAATAAGAACTCTCCGAACCGCGACCCGCCCCGGCTAAAGAGCTGCCGTTCGCTGTAAAACCCTCCGAAAGAGGGTTATACAAAATTGACGCACGAACGTGGGGCCAGACTGAGTTTTTTTGAGTTTCGGTGGGCAAGCTTAAGTCACCTAGAGAAGAACCAAACCACAAGGAATTTTATCGAGATATTTTTATCATTGGGTATTTACAATTTCGATTGCGCATAATAGGAAATAGGAGTGATATTTTTTTGTTTTCTTATACTTGTTTCATCGAGTTGTTTCCCTTGTTTCGACTTTTTGAATTATTTTCTTTGAATCATGGAGGGTGTGATGAAACCCATCCACCTATTAAAGGAGGAACTTAATTATGAATTAAGGATCCGTGGCATTGTATCGGAGAGGAAAGAGGCTAGTCAAAAGCGTAAAATTTTGCACCGCATGATGACGCAAGACGCGGATAGAGCCCTTACATTTATCGACCCTTTATATGCGTTCGAAACAGAAAGAATTGCGATCGACAGAACTCTCGAGTCAATTAAAAATAATGTAGATGAGTTTGAGGGCCCGAAATCGGATTCAGCTTTCTTACGTATTGTTTCTCGTCTCATTCATATAACTAATCGAGTACGGCGCATGCCTATTCCGGAAGAAAACCCGGAAGAAGTAGCAACTTTTAAAAATGAGTCCTTAGCCACGTGCGTAGAATTAGAAGCCATAGTATATGATAAGGTCGAAGGTCAGACCACAAATGAATTTGAATCGTCTTTCCTACGCCAAAGTAGTAATCCGCATGATCTCTTAGTTTCGGTCGCGAAGAGTGCGATCGCCCAAGCCCAATCTAGGAAGATAGACATACATAAATGGGGATTAAAATTCGATGGCACCCCGAGCCAGTTAAATGCATTTTTAGAGCGAGTAAAAGAATTAGCCGCCGCTCGAGGGGTCAGCGAAGAAAATGTATTTCTTTCCGCGGTAGACTTATTTAGCGGGCATGCTCTCCTATGGTATCGGTCGATAAAAAATACAGTAAAGTCGTGGGAGGATGTAGTCACTGCACTTCGACGAGATTTCTTACCAAGTAATTATGACGACAAGTTATGGGAGGAAATTAAAACCCGTACACAAGGTCGAGGTGAGCCGATACATATCTACATTGCTATTATGGAGTCGCTTTTCGGTAGACTCTCGCGCCCGGCACTTGAAAAAACCAAAATTAAGATTGTTAAGCACAACCTATTGCCCCATTACGCGAGTCATCTCGCTTTAATAGAATTTGACTCTGTAGCGAACTTGGCCATCGTGTGTAGGAAGTTAGATGAAGCTTCGGCCCAACAAAAAAAATACCAACCACCACCTGGTCCATCTAAATTTTTAGAATCTGATCTCGCGTATATTGACACAGCGTCCAGTTCTTCTCCATCCGTGAGGGAAATATCTTCGTCTGTTCCAAAAACCCGGTCAAAATCAAATTTAGTTTGCTGGAACTGTCAGAAACCAAACCACACCTTTTCTGAGTGCAGATTAACGCGAAAACGATTTTGTTTCCGTTGTGGAAAACCTGGCTGCACCGTGAAATCTTGTACGGTCTGTTCAAAAAACTAACTCACGAGGCGTGCGGAGCTGGTCGCCATGCGTCTCCTTTCACACAAATCAAGGCCTATAACGTATCCATTTTATCTAATGAACTTAAAGCACAACCGTTAAAATACACTTCTTCCACAGAATGGGATTCATGGCTGCGTAAAGTCCATAATTTTTGTACGTCTCGTTCTGTTCCTCGCTCTCTTACGTGTAGTTCCGAGTCGTTGCCAAAAATAACGCCCGTTTTCGTCGAGAAACCTTGTGATAACAGACCTTATCTCGAAGTATTAATCTTTGATTTTCCCGTAGTAGCCCTTCTAGATAGTGGTGCTAATTCTTCAGTCTTGGGTAGCGAAGGCATTCATCTGTTGCACACCTTTAATGTTAATATTAGTCCAACTTCGCAAGCTGAAGTGACTGTCGCAGATGGTACAAAACAAAAAATAATTGGTAAAGTTGAGTTGACTATCAAATTAAATGGGCAATGTCGGTCTCTCCCCATA